ATATATATATATATATATATATATATATATATACACCTATTTTTCACAGCTCACCGCACTCCCCTTCTAAAAATATATTAGAATAGCTTTCCCAAAATTATTCGTAGCATATTGAATGTTTAAATAGTTTAAATAATTATAATTTAAACTCTCCCTTCAAGCAAATAACACCGACGTAATTTAGGGCTTGAAGCGCGGCCTTCTCCAAGGCATCATCTCCTTCGTCTGAGAAAGACTGAGATTCCAAATCCCCACTATCTGCACGTCTGTAAACCTTTATTGTAATCTTCATTATATTATTATTCGTACCTGCGCTGACTTCATATAATGGTAGGCGACGACGACGCAACTCTGCGTACAACAGTCTTGATGGACAATCCGGATTCCAATCACTTGCATTGTATGAAGTGACCTTCACAGCATTTGGGGCGTAGTTTTTCCTCACCTCCTCCGCTGAGAGAGAGTCTGTGCGGCAAATACACAAACCACTTGAGAGAAAGCGCAGAGGTGCAGAAACCGTATTTGGAATAATCCCCTCTTCCCCCGCCTCCTTCAAGTATCCAGCATCAATCAATTCCCCACACAACTGCAAGTATGCCGCTTGACGTGCCTTTACAAGGTTTCCTTTTCCAAATGCTTCAATGGTAGAATCACTGTTATCTGTTTCTTTATTACTTTGGGGGAGTGTTAAACTTAATTTACACAACCACGGCCCGTTGGATTGTTGATGCGTTTCCGTTTTTAAAAGTTTAGAGTTCGTGCGTGCAATAAAACGATTCACCCACCACTGTGGACACCGTTCCCATGATTTGCCGTCTTCTTCCTTCGCTTCACACTCCGCCTCAACTTTGTCCACAAGTTCCTCCTGCAATCGTATGGCCTTCTCCACCACAGAAGCCACCTTTAATCGCTGATGGGCGTTTTCCATAACGATGAAAACGGCATTTGGGTTTCGTGCGCGACCACGACTTTGAATAAAACTTCGAAGTGTTAAACAAGAATCATAGCGAATAACAAAATTGCATTCGGAGATATCTAGTCCCTCCTCTACTACCGAAGTGGCGATGATTAACTTCACTTCCCCTGCATTAAATTCTTTTAATCTGCGCTTCTGCTCGGCTTCCGTCATGTGAATGTTTTCACCATCTAAAAGTATCTTTGATTTACCAATAACTTCTTTCGGACAAAAGTATTTTTTTAATTTTTCATTAGATTGAAGTGCTTTCGTAATACGACATACTGCAGCCCGAGTATCGCAAAACACAATTCCTCGTACCAAAACTTCATTAGCTCTCATACTTTCAGCAAACCATTCCAGAATCTGCAGGAGAAACCGCATACGAGAGGACATATTAAACACGGAAGATTGCATCTGATTATTATTATTATTATTATTATTATTATTATTATTATTATTATTATTATTATTATTATTATTATTATTATCCCTCATGTTATCACCTGTAGAAGGATTCTGAAATGGTTTAATGAGATCAATGATTCCCTCAAGAAAAGGAAGAAGTACTTCTGCCAGTAACGCGCTTTTTTCCATAAGCCCCAAAACTTCGGCGTTCATGGCGGTTTTGTAGGCTTCTTGAAGCGAAGCATGATCCAATATGTTAAGAGCCCGTGAGAGAGATAAGAGAAAAGTCAAAATTCCACGAGTAAAGAAACAGGAGGACTCATCTCGACCTTTCAAACTCTCCAATCTCAATTGCTCACAGATGTTCATATATCCTGGTGTACCAACATGAAAGTTTGATAGCTTTTTTAGAGTTTTATTATTTACCACTTGTGGATCGTGTACCACCATAGAAGCAATTTTGTATAGATATATCTGAAATTTCTCCTCATCTTGTGAAAGTCGGTATTCCAAGGCCAGTGTCAGAGGATTGGGAACATGTCGTTGTAGATCAGATACGGCTTCTTTCACACGTACGATTTGACATTGCGATACTTCAAGAAGTTCACGTAGAGATTTTTCATTCGTGAAAGATGTAATTGGAGAAGCGGTGAGACCAATAATTTGCGGAAGTTGCATACCCAGAGAATCCTCATCCTCTACATTCACAGATGTTGTGGGAAGATTCCCTGATTTCCATCTATGTATTTCATCCAACAAAGAACGAAAATATCCCCCTGAGGCATTATGTATCTCATCAAATATAATTAAACTGATTTCTCCCTTAATTTCTCTCGGAGACTCCATAACCCAATGATAAAACACAGAGTCAATAATAACCAATGCGGAGGAACCAGAACGGGTGAATTTGTACCAACTTTCCACAGACTTTTTATGACCCGAAACGGTTTCCACTTTATTCTGCAGTACTCGTTGTAAGGCATCCGCCTGTTGTTGAACCAGTGGGACGCGATGGACAATAAATACCACTTTTTTCTCAGGGAATGTAGATATCATGTGAGCAGCCACTGCACCAGCAATAATGGTTTTCCCGGCTCCAGTAGGGAGAAATATAATACTATCTTTATACAGCACCTGATCATACAACTCCTTCTGATAGAGGTGCAGTGTTGGAGGAGGAGGAAAGATGTCTGAAGTGGTGCTCATGATCGGTGTAAAATATATATATATATATATATATATATAATCTCAGGAAAGGCTACAGAAAACACACAAACACACTGTTTCTCTTTCTCTCTTTCCTTCTTTCTCTTTATTGGTATATATGTATATATAAGAAGCCAAGAAGATGTAATTCGGTAGACTTTGGCCTTTTACTATTGTTATTGATATTATTCTGTTGCCAGAAACCTTAATACTATTGAGTTGTACCGCAAAAGAACAACAAAAAAAATAAAAAATAAAAAAAGAAAAAGAAAAACATGTAGAAGAAACGTTATAATACCGCAGAATAGGATAATTACAAGAATAATAAAATACACCTAGTAAATGCAACTCGATATATCCAATACTGCAGCAATGTCACACAATAGAAATAGAAAAAAAAAAAAATAATAAGAAACGTAAAACGTTCGCTTTTTCTTTTTCTTTTTTTGTTTTCTTTTGTGCATCTATTTCTCACTCTCACTTTTACTCGGTATCTCGAACTACTACTACTAGTAGTAGTACTAGTAGTAGTAGTATATATATATATATATATATATCTTTACATTTTCAGAAGCTACTTCAACTGTTGCATGCAGAACACAAACTGCTGAATAGCATTGCGCCTTGGTTCACTAAATCGTGGTTGTCTAGGTGAGAAGAAAGATGTACACAATCGGCACACCCGCTCAAATTCACTCAGTGAGAGTTTCCCTGATCCATCCAAATCAAAAACTCGCATTAAGTATTCCACATCCCGTTGCGTTAACGTGGGAAGCCCTGGACAACTCTCTAGAACTCGGTGAAACTCTACACTATCAAGTTCCTCAACATTGTTATTATCATCACCGGAAAGGGAAATCTTTGCTATTTCCGAATGGGTTGCTTTCATTTTCTCTTCATCTCGTTTATTCTCTTGAGATTCAGTTGCTATTATCGATGACGATAAAGGTAATGATGTCTTCGCCTTCAACGCAAGTTCAATTCCACGACCAACGGTATCATATTCAAAAAGAATTTCAAATGTCTTATGATACAATTCCCAGGATGTAAATCTTTGTTCTTTTTCTACTTTACTATTACTGTTTGGATTGCCATTATTATTATTATTATTATTATTATTATTATTATTATTATTATTATTATTATTATTATTATTATTAATAGTGCCACCTATTTTTCCAATTCCACGAAATAAAATTCGTCGAAAATCTTCCATAGCAATAAATCCTGTGTTACTTGGATCATGTAAACCAAACTGTAGTGCCCACACATCTTGTCTAATTTCACGAATAATTGAAAATAATTCCTCAAAAGAAACGCGATAATCACCACTTGGACCAAAAAGATGTTTAACAAGAGGTGATGCGAAGAAGGCATCTTTAGTCATTGATAATGAATCTTTCTCTTGAGAGGCAACTTTTTCCTCCTTCTTCATTTCTAACGAATATACCGTATCCCGTGTTAACGGTGATGGCATCAACCGACCCTGTGAATGTTGTTTCTTTACAACTTGTACACTATGGTCAACCATTAAAGCGTTTAAAAGATGTCTAAACTCATGTCGTGAAAGGCAAAAATCTTCATTCTTGTCAAAAACCCCAAATGCCATTTTTAAATGTTTGCGTCTTGCAGAAATCAGAGAGAAAAATATACAAAACTCTGTGTATGCAATAGACTTATCATGATCTAAATCCATAAGGCGAACGAGATTCTCCAAGCGCTGACGAATATGAATTGGAAGAGACTCTTGACCAGTGTTTTCAAGTATCTTCATTTCCTCATCATCAAGAAGGCATAAACAAGCCAAAAAACCAGTAGGTGTTAATACCTCACGTCCATCCGCATCAAGAATCGCATAGTGATGAAATCGTTCTCGCAGATTCATTGGGAGAGAGGGTCTTGTTATCATGATGTTCCTTATACTACTCTGTGCTAAACATATTGGTGGATGCCACCAGAAATTTGTGAGGACAGTTCCACCGAGAAAGAATGCGACAGCGGTGGTTGCACTTCTACGTAGAATTGTCATGGATCCGTTACTACTACTACTACTACTACTACTACCAGAATATATCTCTTAAGCATACAGTAGTTTTTGGTGTATTGATAGAAGAAGAAGAAGAAGAAGAAGAAGAAGAAGACAATTAACGAAAAAAAAAAAAAATAAGAAGAAAAACACCGAAATAAAAAAATAAATAAATAAAGGTATAGAGCACATAAATGGTTAAGATATAGACTCGGTTCTACGATAGAAAAGCATTCTTTTTGTTGTTGTTGTTTTTTTTTTTTTTTTTTCTGATTTATTAAGGTGAAGAAAGCAAGGTTTAGATTATTCTTTTTTCTTTCATGAATTGTGTCCCCTCAATATATTAAGATACCCTACCCATTTTCACCTTCCATTGAGAATAAAGAATTATGAAGAATTCTCATCTAGTCTCTTTCCTTTTCCACTTCATTAGTTGAAAAACGTGAACAAAGAAGCTCAATAAACTCATCTAATGTCGCACAAACAGTACACATTGCCTCAACTTCTGCAGGAGAAATAACGAGACCTGTCGATTTTGTACCTTGTTCATTATTTCGAGTTTCGAGTTTAGCTACGACTTCCCGGACACGTGCAGCGTCAACCGCGTTCAGTTTTGGTAGTTTTAGATTTCCCATAGTTTTTGTTACAGATATATTTCCACTCTTGTATTCCACAAGTTTACTTTCTTTTACATTTTTATTATCATTCTCATTGTCATTCTCAGTGTCATTTTTGTCATTTTTATCTTCAACAGATCCAAAGTGAAGTCCTAGCATATCTAAAAGGGCAGGTAAACGAATATAGTCCATACGCAATTTTACACTAAAACGTCCTGGTCTTACTAATGCTGGATCTAATCTTTCTGGATGGTTTGTAATCATAACCACTATACGACCAGGTGTATCTACAGCTCCATCCAACACATTTAAAAGTCCAGAAAGGTTTAATGTATCAGAAGCTTGCAATAACTTTAATAATGAATCTTTTCCGGTAATATCTCGTCGAAGTGTTTTTCCAGTTGCAGATTGTCCTTCTAATGAGGAACGTGGATCAAGAACACCCAATAGTAGTTGATTAACAATATCAATATGTTCATCTCGCGAAGGTGATTCTTCATCGTTATTAGGATTTTCATCATCACTTGATAGCTCCACCTCACCACCCTCATCGCTTGCAGAGGAACATAATTCATTATCTGCAGTATCCCCACCCGCCTCAAGAGCTGCAGAGCGACGCTTACGTAAATGTTGACGTCGTACACGCGAACGCACCAATTGACTGGACGAGTCCACATCATCCAGAAGAAATATAACATCTTCCATCCCAAACACGGTGACATCAGACTCACCAATACAGTGAAATTCGCGGTTTAGAAAGATATCGTAAAGGTCTTGATTAGTCCGAAGAAATGGAAGATGAACCGAAACTACATGACGCTTCGTGTAGGAAGCAAGAGCCTTTACAAAAGATGTTTTTCCAGTTCCAGGAGGACCATATAATAGAAATCCAAGTTTGACAGGAAATCCTTCAGTAGCAAATCGACCTTTTTTTGCCATAAAATTGTCTACAAGTTTCAGAATAGAACCTCTCTCAGGGAAAAAAAGTGTATCAAATGTTTTATTATCACTAAGAGGATAACGTTTAAAGCATACCTGCGACTCACTTCCACTTTCTTTTGACGTAGGTTGTAGTTCAAGAAAAACTCTACCGTCATTCATAACATTAGGAAGGTTTTCAACATAATACTCAAGACAACGACGTACAAAGTCTTCCATTCGATCGCCTGCCTCTGCTCCTCCTCGCGCACGAAGAATAACCGTCCTCCTTATCCCATCAGAGCCATCAACAGCAACACGCTTTCGCTCATACGACAACTCAATACCATCCTCACTCACAGGAACCCATCCACCTTGAGTTGGAACTTTCACCAACACGTAGCGACGCAACTCGTTTCGGGTGCGCCAGTTAACATTCTCCCAAGTATTCTCATCATCATCATCATTGACTCGAAAAGGAGAATCGTAACGCTCCATCCAGGCACTGCGTAAAGGATCAAATAGAAGAACCAGACAAAGTTTATCATTCCACACAGATGGTTGAAGCTTCGACCACCAAGAAACCTTGTGAAGATAAAAAAAAATTGCATTCTGCAGAAGTGCATTACGATCTGAAATCATACCAATAGTCATGGCAGAAAGATTCACAGTAATCCGACGTTCCACCATATCTTCAGTACGGTATGAAAAACGAACTTTTAACCAAGACCAAATCTCAGGAATCAACACATTCAGCAATGATCCCAGAAACAATAGCAAAACCAAGCCCACCTCACGCATAATCGGCAAATTTAAAAAAGGATGTAAAAAATCCCAAAAATGCAAATAACCATCGGACATATCCCTAACATCTACACTAATCCCTACATCATCAATACTAGCCATTACAACGAAATACTAAAAAAAAAAAATATATAACAGCAACTTCATAAATCCAAAGAGAAAATACACACACACACCATCCAGAGCATTCTCACACAGTCAATGGAAAGGTTTCCGAACAAAAAAAATCCAGCAAAAAAAAGTGTTCCCGATTCTATGGGGCCACCCAGCCTCGGTGTTGGTATCATCATCAGCAGGGTGGCGCATGATTCACACATGTATCTAGGTGTGGTTGCAGAGGCTTGTGCCCACTCTAAGCGCTGGGAGTCGCCTTTGCCTTCTTGCTGCTCTTCTGCTTCTTTGCCAGTGCCTTGTGTAGGCTTGGCATCACACCACCGCGTGACAGCGTCACGTTCTGCAGCAGTGCACCAAGGTCATCGTCGTGGCGCACAGCGAGTGTCACCGTGCGGGGTGTCAGGCGCTTTGGCTTCTTTGCCTGCTGGCTCGCCGCCTTCACGGAGAGCTCCAGCAGCTCAGCGGTCAGGTACTCCAGCACGGCCGCCATGTACACTGCACCAGACGCACCAACGCGGCGCGCGTACTGACCGCGACGCAGCAGTGAGCCCACGCGACCCACGGGAAAGATCAGACCCGCCTTGGCGGAGCGGCTGCCGCCGTGCTTCTTCGACGCCTTCTTTGTCACCTGCTTGGGAGTTGCCATTGGTTGGTTGTAGGTAGTTGCTTAGTGCTTTGTAGCTGTTTTTCTAACAAGGAAGGCAGAAAAAGAAAACAAGAAAACAAAGGTAGAGTACGCGCACGCAGTGCATTTCAACCGCACAGCCAGTTGCGCATCAGCCACAAACACACACAC